AGGGGGGAAGAGGGGGGGAGAGAGAGAGAGAGAGAGAGAGAGATAGCGATATTTTAGAAGACCCTAAGATCATATGCTGAAAGCCTAATAGTAATGAACTCAGCATGGTGGGGTTATGAATGCTTTCAGTTTTTCATTCTGTTTTCCTGCCCTTTCAAACCTTCCTATGACAAATGAATATTGCCCATTGGGGGGAAGGGTGTATTATTTTTATACTAACAAAACATGACAGCAGTCTCAAAACTCTGTTAGACTCCTAAGTGAAAGTCAGGGACTGGGATCCCACTGGGGAACTGTTTAAGGGTGGAGGAGAATGGGGGTTCCCAGACAGATCAAAGCAGATTCTGGGCCCCATTCCCTTACCTACCTGGAACCACACCGTTGGTGGCGATGGCACTCATGGAGATAGCTGTCAGCAGTGTCTGTGGAAAGGAGGGCCTGGATGAGCCCTGGATGAGCTCAGATGGGTGGGATCTGTAGGGTGACCATGGCCCCTGCTCAGTCTATCCGTGACCCACCAGGCTACTTACACAGCAGCAGCAGATGAGGACAATAAGGAGGGCCTGTAGCACCCCGGCTGTGCCCACCATCCAGGTCAGCCGCAGGAAGAGGATGACCCCAAAGATATTTTGCAGGCAGGGCAGGTACACCCCCATGAGTGTGCCCATGCTGGGTGCCTATATGGGCAGGAGAAGAGGTGGCACAGAGCATCAGAGGGGCACAGATGCACTACAGAAGGTAGTTCCCTAGTCATTCAGTCATCCCTTACCTATAGTGGGGTACCCCCAGCCCCAGAAGTCAGGGTATAGCTAGAATGTCTCTATTAACTTTCTTTTTGGAGTACTGAGGATTGAACCTAGCAGCACTTAACCATTGAGTATACTCACAGTTCCCCTTTTTTATACATTTTTTTTTTTAGTTGTAGATGAACCGATACCTTTATTTTGTTTTTTTAGTTTTTTTATGTGGTGCTGGGGATAGAACCCAGTGCCTCACACATGCTAGGCAAGTGCTCTACCACTGAGCCACAATCCCAACCCAAAACCTTTATTTTATTTATTTTTATGTGGTGCTAAGGATTAAACCCAATGACTCACATGTGCTAGGCAAGAGCTCTACCACTGAGTTATAACCCTAGCCCTCCCAGTTCCTTTTTATTTTTAAAAAATATTTATTTTTTAGTTGTATTTGGACACAATACCTTTATTTTATTTATTTTTATAAGGTACTGAGGATCAAACCCAGAGCCTCACACATGCTAGGCAAGCGTTCTACTCCTGAGGCATAACCCCAGCCCCCTTTTTTATTTTTTGAGACAGAGTCTCCCTAAGTTGCTTAGGACCTCTCTAAGTTTCTGAGGCTGGTCTCAGACTTGTGATCCTCCTGCCTCAGGCTCCCAAATTGCTGGGATTACCATGCCCATCTCTATTAACTCTATACAGCAAGACAGTTGGGATTGAGAGGGTTATGAAACCTGATTCTTTCTAAAACCCCACAAGTGAGCTTTTGAACTTAAATTCTCCTCAAGGTACTGCCTCCTCCCCTTCCTCTCCTCTGCTAAATGTCTGCGAAAAGGGGTCTATCTCAGGTCCTCACGTTCTCTCTGAACAGGCCCCAAATCACCTAAGCCAAAATCCAAGAAATTTTCCCTCTTGTTCCCTCTTTCCAATCCCCCCACTTTAACCAGATGGACATGGAGTCCTGCCCATTCTACCTCTCTGCTATCCAGAGACTAGGCTTCCTTGTCTCAGCCTTAGTGCCCCTAGGATAGTAAACTGGGGCACTAGGTGATATCCTCCCACACTTGCCCACCTCTCCACACCCTAGTCCACTCTGCAGCCAGAGTAGGTCTCTGATAACCAAGTACAATCCCTTCATCCCTGTTGAAAACCCTGTTTTGTTCTATAGTACAGTGTGTGGCATGTGGTGCAGATTCCTTGGCTTGAGCTGACAGATGTACCCCATCACCTCCTCTGTCATTCCCAGCTCCATACCACAATGGCTTCTTCTGAGCCTTGGAACCTGGGCATGTGCTAGGCTCTGCCAGGGAGGATGGCCTTGCCTCACTGCCTAGAAAACTCTTTCTTCAGTGAAACCATCAGAAGTTTAACTGTCACTTCTTCCAGAAAGTTCCCCCTAGGCTGGGTGGAGTTGGTGCTCCTCCTGTAATCTTTCAGCATCTGACATACCTTTCTATGATAATGGTCACTACAGGTCACATTACTGACTGTGTTAGTATGACTCATTATCATATTGTGGCAGACTTGACTTGTTTACTGTTCTATCACCAGCAGACCCTACAGATCCCCCAAAGGTGCTCCTAAACCCAGTGAATGACAGCTTAGAAGTCCCTGGACATCCTGTTGAGAAAATCTTGCAGAGCGAATGGAGGGGTCAGGAGAGAGCTACATGCCAGAAGAAGCATTCTGAAGGGTTCTGGCTTGGGGCAGGGTCTGTGTGCAGGCTAAAGGAACTTGGGAGGATCCAGGCAAGAACAAAAGCTCCCTTCTGAAAGATACACCTCATCTAAGCTCTGTCCAAGCCCTTCTCAAAGGATACCACCCATTTTGGAATAATGGCAGCAAGAACTCTGAGTCCCACCCCCATCCTAGGCTGAGTCATTCTTAGAAAAGAGCAGTGTGGGAAAGGGCAGGACCGGAAATGCTTTCTGCATCCCCAAATAACCTCTGGCAGCCTCAGAAGGTCACTGGGCCAGAGCCAAAGTGACTGCCAGGGAGAGGCTGCCTTTGGGTCTTGGCATGGACTGGTTGGAGGCCCACCCTTCCTGCTTCAAACATTCTTTTCTGAGGCCCCTGCTCAGAGCTGCTCTGGGTGAGACCCACAGCTCCCTAGCTTCCTACTGTGTACTTAACTAGATTCCTCCTTCCTCCATGGTCCCAGCGACTAAGGCTGGGACCCTCAGCTTCCCTCTCATATCTTCACCTTAAGGTCAGATGGGTAACTAAGCTGAGGCTAGACCCTAGTATCCTCACAGGCTCCCCATTAGGCCAAAGGACTACAGCCCTTCACCAATTCATGCTTCCCTCCCATGCTTCTGTTGAGATGTGCACTAGTCTTTCCTGGGGGCCTTTTTACTCTCAGTTCTGACTCATCCTCAATGGACAGGGATGAGACTCTTATCCAATGATCCTGTCATCCACTGTGGGCAACACTCTCAGAAGTTAAGACCCCTCCTGCAAGGCTGCATAGGGGTTGCCAGAGACAGAGTTCTCTGCTATCTTTATTCCAGAATATACCAGCAAAATCTCAACCAGCTGAAGAGGTGGAGGTTAGTTCTGTATAATCAAGATATCAGCTGCCCTCTTGAAAGGGTGGGCTTGTTTGTCTCCTGGAAGCGACAGGTGAAGGATGTGCTTCAGCTTGGTGTATCCTCTCTCCTGGACCCACCCCAGCAAGGCCCAAATCTCAGGAGCAAGTCTGAGCCTGGTGATCTGGCTTATCCCAACCTGGAGTTCCTTTTGTTTCAACTAACCTCCAAAGAGAACAGTATAGCCAGGACTAGACCCCAGCTCCTTCCAAATGCAGCTACTTCCCAAACCTCAGAGAGACAGGAGGTGGAAAGGGAGGGCCCCTTACTTTTTTTGTGGGACGGGTACCGGGGATTAAACTCCAGGGCATTTGACCACTGAGTCACATCCCTAGCCCTATTTTTGTATTTTATTTAGAGACGGGGTCAACACTGAGTTGTTTAGCGCCTTGCTTTTTGATGAGGCTGGCTTTGAACTTGCTATCCTCCAGTCAACCTCCTGAGCTGTTTGGATTACAGGCATGCGCCACTGCACCTGGCAGGACCCCTTACTTTCAAACCAAAATGCTGAAAAAATCCCCAGCCCTCAGTTAATCTGAGGCCCATCGAATACAGGAGCTGAGCAAGATAGAAAAATCATCCTAAATAGAGACGAGGGCTGAAGGAATAGATGTACTTTACAAGGAAATGTCAGGCTCCATCACATGTTCATGCCTGCACAACCTGGTATTTAAGCAACCCGGGGGCTGTGGGAGCCTTGGTTAGGGGCAAGAGAGTAATGTCACTTGCTTTAGGCTGTGTAGCCCCCAGGCTATCCATCCTGATTTGATGCCAGTGATCTGGTATTTCACAATCACATACCTCACAGTACAGCCAAAAACACTTCTCCCAGCATCATGCATTAACCTTGGGCAAGTTACTTAAGGCCTTGTCACTCAGTTTCCTCATCTGAGAAATGAAGATGAAAGTGGGAGAGAAGCCAGGCTTAGGGAGTCAGGAGGCTGGCCCAGGGGACTAGACAGGCAATGGGCAGGACTCAGAGGAGCTAAAAAAAAAATGAATGACCTATCTCATAGGGTTTTTGTTTGTTTTTTTTCCCAGTGGTGGGGATTGAACCCAGTACCTCATGCATGCTAGGCAAGTGCTCTATCACTGAGCCACATCTCAAATCCACCCATACTCCCTTCCTTCTTTCCTTTCTTCCTTCCTTCCTCTCTCTCTCTCTCTCCCTACCTTCCTTCCTTTCTTTTCCACACAGGGTCTTGCTACTTCCTGCCTCAGCCTCCCATGTAGCTGCGACTACAGGCTACAGGTTTCCATCTCATGATTGTGTTGTGAGTATAACATTTGAGAAGATGGGGTCACTCTTAGAGGCTGAGTGCAAGCAGCTCTTGTTCCCACTGTCATTTCTTTCTGTCTTTCTTGAAGTGCTGATGAAACTCTACCAGAGCTAAACCTACACCTCCAGTATACCCACTGTCATTTCCTTCTTTTTAAATTTTTTGTTTGTTTGTTTGTTTCTGGGGATTGAATCCAGAAGTGCTTAACCACTGAGCCCACTGAGCCACATCCCCAGTGCTTTTCTTATTTTTAGACAGGGTCTCACTAAGTTGCTTAGATCCTCTCTAAGTTGCTGAGACTAGCCTTGAACTTTTTTTTTTTTTTTAAAGAGAGAGTGAGAGAGGAGAGAGAGAGAGAATTTTTAATATTTTTATTTTTTAGTTCTCGGCAGACACAACATCTTTGTTGGTATGTGGTGCTGAGGATCGAACCCGGGCCGCACGCATGCCAGGCGAGCGTGCTACTGCTTGAGCCACAATCCCAGCCCCTAGCCTTGAACTTTTGATCCTCCTGCCTCAGCCTCCCTAGTCACTGGGATTACAGGCCTGCACCACTATGCCCAGCTTCACCCACTGTCATTTCTGAGGGCCTCCCTCAGAAGTTCCTCCTTAGCCCATCCCTTAAAGCCCCTATGAGCCCAAGACATTCAGTGCCCACTCTCATGCTCACCTCACCTGGCATCCACATCCCCTGGCGTGCGCACACCACATGGGAAAACAGCATATTCCATGGTGTTTTGCCTGTCATCTTAAGTGTGGCCCTTCTGATGACCCTGACTGGCTCACCTTGGCTGCTCTCCGACGGGAGCCTTCTCCACTCTCAGCCTCCTCATGCTCCTTGGCGCCCTGGGTGAGGTTGGTATAGCTGACAAGCTTGCCCAGAAGAGATGACACCTTTGGGCGAATGTCCAGTTCCTCCTGTAAACAAAGCCACGGGGCAATATGGCAATGGGCCAGGCCAGCGCCAGGCTACCTATATGTAGCCAGCAGCCTGGACTCTGGCTCCATGCCAGGCCCTGAGGCAGGCCTGGGCCTGATCCCAGCTCTTGCTGGGGGAAGCCCAAGCCAGCCAACTGAGCAGGTGTGGGCACCACACCCCAGCACGTGGCACTGAAAGGCCCAGCCCAGTGGTGGCTTCTCTCTGCCCCACCTTGGCTGCAATCACTGCCAGCCCATTTGTGAAAACCACCCGCCTCAGGGGAGAAAAAGAAGGGCAGGCACAGTTGGCAGACAGGCAAATTGCACACTTCATCCTATCTACTCTGTTTGGCCACCTACTGGCGATGGCTGAGCCTCTGGGATTCGTATCTACCCTGGACTGCCCACAAAAAAAGCCACCTTAGTCACCTCAGGGACCAAGGCAGACAAAAGTTGTCTGGAACAACTGAAGTCTCTGTTGTCTGACCTTCCTAAATGGTCTAACCCCAGGCTCTGGTTCCTGTGACTAACATACCTCAATCCCAAAGTGGGATGCTGGCCCATCATCCTCAAAGTGAAGCCAGGACAAAGGCTTTATTGCAGAACCTTGTTGCTCTTGGTCAGGAGGTATCCTAGGCTCAGGACCCCCAACTCCCACGGGGGTCTAGGCTTTCCCAGCCCTTGATTCATTCTTAGTGCCAACTCTCCACTGGTTTCTTATCCACATTTAGCCTTTCACTGTCTGACAGCTCTTTTCTGACCCTACACACAGGGAGGTTGGTTGGGAGCAAAGAATAAATATACAGGCCTTTGGACATGTGGAGATTGAGAAGCCTACATTATTCAGCAGCTGAATATGTGGGTCCAAGTTTAGGGGCCTAGGGGCTGGGGTTGTGGCTCAGAGGTAGAGTGCTCGCCTAGCATGCATGAGGCACTGGGTTCAATCCTCAGCACCACATGAAAATAAAATATATTGGGGGCTGGGGATGTGGCTCAAGCAGTAGTGCGCTCGCCTGGCATGCGTGCAGCCCGGGTTCGATCCTCAGCACCAAATACAAACAAAGATGTTGTGTTTGCTGAAAACTAAAAAAAAATAAATAAAAAAATTTCAATTTTTTTTCAAAAAATATTGTATCCATCTATGACTAAAAAATAAATTATAATAAAAAGTTTAAGAGCCTAAACCATGTCTTAAATCCATATCTTACTTTTCAGCTTGAGTATGGAAAGGGTAAAATATAAGTTCAGACACAAATTTGGGAAACTTTCAAAGAGATATCAACTGAGCTTGCAGATGTAGAGGGCAAGAGCAGGTTCAGGGAGAAGGACCAGGGTCGAGAGTTGGAAGAACCAACCAGGAAAGACAGAGTCCATGAGAGAGCCCACAGGCGGAGAACTAGGAGTGCAGGGAAAAAAAGAAATTCTCAGGGGGTGGTCACCTTGCTGAGGGGGCAGCAAGGAAGGAAAAGGTTAACAGCCCAGGAGATGGCAATGGAGGCAGAATTGCAAATGGCCTCTGGGAAAGCAGTTTCATTTTGAAGGGCCACAGGAAACACTATCTGACTACAGGGAGCAAGACAAGGGGAGAGCAGAAGAAGAGTCACCATCCAGCCTGCCTACTTAGATGAGAGGCCCCTGACAGGCCTCAGTCTGTCTCCCAGCCTGCCACATTTGTGGCCTAAGATGGCTCCTCAACTACCTCAAACAGTGCCAGGTTCCTGTCATAGTAGTCACTTCCTCTGGAAGCCTCCAAGGGGCAAAGAAAAGGGCTGCTCTCTCTGTGATTACTCTGTCCTGTGGAGAGAAAGGGAAAGAAACCCAGTTAGGGGCTGCCTCCTGAGCATGCAGCCTGTACCCCTCCCCACAGGCCAGTCCCCAAAACATCCTTTCTGTAAACTACTTTGGAGCCACAGTGTTAAGAGGCTGAGCATCAGCTTCTCCATCACACCTAATGGCCTCCTTGAAGAGCCAGGGTAACCCAAGAGCAGCCAGTAATCAAAACCCAGCCCATCGTTTCCTGTAACACAGGGTACAGGTATGAAAGCCCCAGGGTAAGGCGAGGGGTGGGGCCTGTTGAGGGGGCGGGCCCTGGCCTCAGCCCCCCCTCGCATAACCCCTAACCCCTTTTCAGGCCTATCTGGAGCACCCAGAGTGCCCCATGCCAAGGGCTCGGTGTCGTCAGGCATCAGCCGGGTACTGCTCTCCAGATAGATGAAGCCGCACAGAGCACCTTCTGCTGCCATGGCCAGCAGGTGGCCTGCTAGCTACCCCACCATGCCCCGTGCCTGAGGGGGCACCCTGCAGGGTGGCCCAAGGCATGCCGGGAGGTGGGGGCAAGCCCTAGCTGTACAGTAAGCAGAAGTGGGAGCCAGTTGTCCAGGTCATCTGCGAAAGGTAAGGCTGGTGGGTGAATGTTAGATTGTATAGTCTGGAAATACAGGAGTGTAGATGGGCATGGAGGGTGGGATATAAGGATGGAGGATGGGATGGAGGATCTCAAGTTCAATGCCAGCCTTACTGTCTCAAAAAGGGGGATGACATTCCCAGCTTTCCAACAAACAGGTAGAGCCCCTCTAGGTTAAATCCCTAGTATCAATAAACAAACAAATGGCTGGGGATGTAGTTCAGTGGTAATGCACTCCTGGGTTCAATTTCCAGCACTGCAAACAGGAAAAAGAGGAAAGAAGGAAGATAGAAGCATGGACTGTTCACAGGGTCCCAGGGCATTAGCTCCTTGGTCTGCAGATTCCTCCATCTTGCATCAAAACAGGTGAGAGGCCCACACCAGCTTCCACCCACCCCTCAGGTTGGTGAGACTGAGCCTCAGCTCCAAGGAAACCTGGCAGAAAGCAACCAAAATGATTTTTGGGGGGTAGGGGGCACCAGGGATTGAATTTTGGGACACTCAACCACCAAGCCCACTTTCAGCCCTATTTTGTATTTTATTTAGAGACAGAGTCTCACTGAGTTGCTTAGCGCCTCACCATTGCTGAGGCTGGCTTTGAACCTGTGATCCTCCAGTCTCAGCCTCCCAAGCCACTGGGATTACAGGAATGTGCCACCAGGGCCCCCCATTTTATTCTTCCCCTTGGTAAGGCTATCTCACCTCCCAAAGCTTGCCTGCTTTTTCCTGGCATCCCATCATTCGTATTCTTCCCTGTTCTACATTTGTCTCTTGTGAGTCTTCATGGTGACATTCCCAGTTTTCCAACAAACAGGCAGCAGACACTAAGTACTTCTTTTCTAGATGCCAAGTTTCCCTCCACCCCAATGAAGTCTGGTAGCTGCAGCACTGACTCAGGTCTCACAATAAATGGGCTGTAGACATTTAGGTTCAAAGAAGCCACCCATGGTGTTTGCTGGAAGCAGCATGCAGTTTTGTTTTGTTTGGGTACTAGGGATTAAACCCAGGGGCACTCGACCACTGAGTTACATCCCCAGACCTTTTTATTTTTCATTTTTGAGATAAGATCTTGCTAAGTTGCCCAGGTTGCCTTCAAACTTGTGATCCTCCTGACTAGCTGAGATACTGGCATGCACCACCATGCTCTGCAGAAGTATGCAGTTTTGATTTTAAGTGGGTTGGCACGGTGTCCCCAGATGGACGCAGTAATAGAAGTGTTATTACCAACCCAGACTAGTGGTGTGATTGGGTCATGCACTGGCCATGACTGTCAATGTTTTCATTTAAATAGGTCACAATTCATTTCTCATTTGCAGCTGAGAACGTGGACTAATGCATCCTTCTCCATCTGAAACATCCTCTTGATATCAGTGTGTGGTTTAACTTGGCTTCCCAAGCCTACAACCACTTAGCAGGGGCTGCATTATGGATTCTTTATCACTCAAGGAGACTGATAGGTAAAGTGTGCCGGTGACAATTTCTGGGGTAAAGTCAGTTCTGCCTTAGCATGTGAAAGCAGTATATTTCCTTCATCCAGCAACCTGGACTAGTTAAGTGGGCCAAACAGATCAGTCACATGTTCAATGATTGCATATAGGTCAATGTCAATGACACAGTAGACAAAGGCAGCCAGAAAGTCATCCTACCAAGGCATGTTAAAGCCCAGTGGGGTCATATAGCTCCTCAGACACCCTCACACCCTATGACATTTGCTATAACTTTGATGCTTACACAGGATCAGGAGTCACAAGAAAAATCTAAAAACCCTGTAATACTACCCTTTATATTAACAGCTGACCAGTGAGAATGCAATTTTGTCAGACCAGGATACAGGGTACTAGAGCCAGGTGAGGGCTTGGCTGTTGTAGGTTCCCTATTCCTACTCCAGACCCTAGTCCATCCAGGATACACCCCAAGGTGTAGCATGATCCTTGAAGGTAAAGAAGAGGTCTAGAATATGCAATTTTGCCAGAGTTTGCATATCCTGTCCTCTGGGTGCTCAGATGGCCAGAAGTCTGCTTTGGATTCCTGGCCTCTCCCATGTGAAAATGATCCTCTGGGCTGCCTTGTGTGTCCTATTCTATGTACAAATAGTAACACATGCTTTTCCAACTGCCCAGAGGCATCAGAAAAGGGTATCTGCTGCCAGACACCCAGAAAGCACTTGTTGGAGTTCCCCAAGCCTTGCTTAGGGACAGCTCCAATGGGATTGTGGAAACGTAAGAGGGTCTAAGCAGACACTGGATGTCTGTACTGCCCTCAGATTCAAGTTGCCCATTCTGGCCTCAGCTATTCCAAAAATTCCAGGGCACGTCTGGGCATGCCTGCCAGGCCCAAGCTGCTCACATGCCACCTGAGACCCCCAGTATGGCCGGGATCTGGGGCCTGCCTGTGAGGGACACAGGTGTGTTCCCACCAGCAACTGTATAGACACCAGTGACAGGTAAGGATCCAGGTGACCCTCCTGATCCCTGTACACAAAAGCATCTGCCTGAGGTGCTCCTTCAGGACCTCCTGAGCCCCAGGACAGGAGTAGAGGGCAGGCCTTCAGCTAGGAGCCCCAGGACATGGACCTGAGTTTGACTGTTTTTCAGTCCTCTGAACTTTTGCAGTCCCCACCAAGAAGGATCAAAATCACTCACCAGGGGGACTAGGGTTGTGACTCAGTGGTAGAGCACTTGCCTAGCACGAGTGAGGCACTGGGTTCGATCCTCAGCACCCCATAAAAACAGAATAAAGGTATTGTGTCCACCTACAACTAAAAAAATATATATTTTTTTAAAGGAGAGAGAGAGAGAGAGAGAGAGAGAGAGAGAGAGAGAGAGAGAGAGAGAGAAATTTTTTAATATTTATTTTTTAGTTTTCGGTGGACACATCTTTGTTGGTATGTGGTGCTGAGGATCGAACCCAGGCCGCACGCATGCCAGGCGAGCGCGCTACTGCTTGAGCCACATCTCCAGCCCCTAAAAAAATATATAAAAAAAATCACTCACCAGGGTTCAGGGTGTCCCCCATACTGCAAACACAGTCAAGGTCTGGCTGAAAAGAAGCAAGAGGAGGAGGAAAAGGAAAGGACCTAGTGGGAGGAGCTGGTCTTGCTTGGAGGCATCTGGCTGGATGAGGCTAAGGCAGGCAGAAGCTAAGCCAGCTCTGCCTGCCCACTGAATCAGGGATGCAGCCTAGCCCAGCCTCCAGGGACAGAGGTTCTTCCAGGCTCCGTCGGGGGAGCAGGGATGCTGCCTCTTGCTCTGACTCTCTGAACAAGACTAGGGACAGACAAGGGAATGACAAAGGGTACTCACACAGCTGTCAAGCCTGAAATATCCAAAAAGCCCATCCCTCTGTCCTGTGCCAACTCTACACATGGCAGTCAGGTAATACAAACGCACAGCCACTTGCATCAGCATGGATCAGCTCAGTCATATCACCATCAAAGACAGATCAGAGGTCAAGATCATATCACCTGACACATCTCAATGACATGAATTTCTTAAATGTCTCCATCATGGTCAGTCCCAGACATTATAGGCATTTGTCATCAGTCATATCACAATCCTGCAGGATACAGTGACCATGAGAATGCCCTGACCTGACCCTGCCTTTAACTTGATACCCACAGCAGCACACTTGCACATGCATATGCCAGTACACAGTGCACAGACAGACATAAGTTTCCAGCAGGACTCCAAAAGTGGCCCCTGGCAAGGACACCGTCTGACTGAGTGAAACCCTGAGCCTTCTGGGAGAGGAGATGGAGAAAGGGGCAAGGGAAGAGGCAGGAGCCTGGAAGAAAGGAGACACTCACCTCCAAGACCAGCACTAACACCCAGGTTCAGAGTTAAGGTGCTAGAATCTCCCCTGGGGGTTTAAATATCCCCCCAACAACCCCCCTCCCTGCAAATTTCATAACCTCCCCACACTTTCCACCACTCCTTCCTAAGTGCAAGTAACAGCATCTGTCCCAAAGAAGGTAGGGAGGATTAAACGAGTCGGTTCACGTTAAGTGCCTAGACAAGCCTGGCCCCGTGTGAATGCTCCCCAGATGCCCACTGCACCTACAGATCTAGGCCTGGGCAACAGGGACGACTTACAGGCAGGTACCCAAAGGCCCCCTCAGCAGGCACACCCTTCTCTCGGGGAGGGCCTGAGAGTTTAGAGAGTAGGGAGACACAGGAAGGGGAGGGCAAGGGAAGGAGGGAATCACCGGGCCAAGGCGACAAGAGGATGGAGGTCGTTTTCAAAGGTGAAGAGGCTGCAATTGGGGCTTTGGCTGTACTCCCAAAGGAAAAGGCAGGAGACCCGGGCTCGGAGCTATCCGGGGCCGGGCGGCCTGCTGTCTGGCCTCCCCGGGCGGCCACGTCTGCAGCCCCCGCCCGCGGCTCGCAGGGGAGGAGCTGGGCTAGGGAGAGCGACCTGGCCCGCGCGCCCGGAGCGGAGGAAAATCGTGTCTGCACGCGCGGAGCGGGGAGTGGCGGCGGCGCAGAGAAAGAAAAGTTAAGCCGGCATCGACGTAAGCGCGCCAAGTCCCACTACCGGCGGGAGCCG